GCATTTTGGAGACAAGTTAGCTCAACGGTGTCTGCAGATCAGTCAACTTCACGAAATTGGACTGTACTTGCTCAAGAAGAACCAGATGATGAGCCATATATCATTGGAAAGATACGGAAGTCTAGTTTCTGGATAATTTTACGGTTCATGATTCCGAGTCTTCTAGAGAAAGTTATGCAAGTTTTGGCAGCTTAAGGTCAAATTCGACAGCATCTGCGTTATTGGGCCAAAAATGACATTTGAAGGTCTTTCCGATTTTTTCTTGAGTTGGGCTGCATATACTTGGAAATATAATTCAAAGGGTTTGAAGATCCAGATTTTTCCAGATTTTTTAGGAGGGAAGATCAAGCCCAAAACAAGCCCACAAGCTGACAGATATGAAGTAAATTCTAGTCTATTTTCGGCAGTCAACTTGTAAGGCCCAAAACGTATACTTGTACTGCTCAGATGGGAATGCATTCTTCATAAATGTTGTTCCAATGGGTGTCTATTATGACATATCCAAATTTGAGTAACATTGGATACATATTGAAACCGTAGGACTTCCTACACCAAGCCTGGTTTAAAAAAATCGTTTTTTTCAGCAACCAAAAGAAAACCTACATGGGTTGGCAGCAAAAGACCGCCACAATTGAACACCTTTGAAATCCCATGTGAAGAAAGATTGAGATGCAGCAAAAGAAGTATGGGATGGAATTGATTCCAACCACACTAACATAGACAAGATGAAGTGACAGTTATGGATTGTATTAAAAGAGGAATGGTGGTGTTGGATTTCATCATGATGTTCCTCCCTCTTAGCCCTATAAATGGAGAAGTCTTCAAGCTTCATAAAACACCCCCAAGGGGGGGAGCTCTCAAACACTTCTCTAGAGCTCCCCTCCCTTCTCTCCCTCAAATTCTCTTAGTTTCTCTTTCTAGTTTTCAATTGTTGTAATGAAATCTTTGTGCTAAAATTCTCCTTAAGTTTTTCTTAGTTCCACTTTACTTTTCATTGTTATGTAAATTCTTTTCTTTAGTTTCAAGTTTGATTACTTTCCAAGTTTCAATTATGGTTTTTGTTCTTATTCATCTTATTCATTGTGCTTATAAGTTAATATGCTAGTTTGAATGATTGATCACCATTTAGGCTTGCATGTTAGCTATCTTGGTTTGAATTAAAAGTGGACGCCATGCTTTAATTCGAATTGAACTATGAATAGGAAGAGTATGTATGGACATTCGACAACAGGGATTAGATACATACTTGGTTGTTTAAAATGTTCTTCTATGCTTAATGGATTCATAATGCTGAGTTTAGGTTAGACAACAGATGATCAAATTAGGGAATTAGGAATACAAGGTTAGGACCAAACACTATGGCTTAATCATACTTTAGCTAGAATCAATCCGTTAATTTAATTGAACTTGGGAACTTATCTGCTTGAGTTATTTTCTTTTCTTTCTTTCTTGTTTTTTTGTTTTGTGTAGGAAAACTAAATTGGATTATTCAATCACCAATCCCTATGGAATCGACCTCGCACTTACATATGTTATACTACCGAACGGCTCGTGCACTTGCGAGTATCACAAGTTGAGGATGCAGCTGAATCCATTTTGGTGCAGCTGAATCGACGCAACAGATGACAACGTTTTGCTGGGTATGTTTACCAAGATGAATCCCATTAAATTTTGTCAAAGCAGTTTCCCTAATGTGTTAAGGATAACTATGAATGAAGTATATACTATTATTAATTGTAGGTAAACCACTGTTTGATACATTAATAGTTGAGAAATTACTACATGTAGGTAAATGACTACATCTAATATCACTTTGTTGAAATTTGTTTCAGTTGTATGTAATTTACCTACTTGTTGAGATCACCTATCTGTTGTACGTAATTTACCTACATGTTGAAATTTTCTTTTAGTTGTACGGCATTTACCTAACTGTTGAAAAAATAGGTAAATCACCTAGTTGAAATCACGTAACTACATATGATATCACCTAGTCGAAATTTGTTTCAATTGTATGTAATTTACCTACCTGTTGTATGTAATTTACCAACATGTTGAAATTTGTTTTAGTTGTACGGAATTTACCTACCTGTTAAAAAAATAGGTAATTTACCTACCTAAAGGTAAATTATGGAGTGATGGATATATGTCAATGGAATTTGTGTAGAGGCCAGTCACATTGATTTCAACTTCAACTCATGTACCTATATATTAATATTCGTGTAATGTAAGTTGTCAATTGTGGGTTTAAATTTTATAAAAAGAAGGTCATAACGGTTACTCATTGCAGGTTATTGATTCATTTGCGCAGATTTTACAAACTGAGAGAAGCAATAATCCAGTAGTGGGGACTAAATCGCACATGATGACAACGTTTTGCTGGGTATGTTTACCAAGATGAATCCCATTAAATTTTATCAAAGTAGTTTCCCTAATGTGTTAAGGATAATTATGAATGAAGTATATACTATTATTAGTTATAGGTAAACCACTGTTTGATACATTAATAGTTGGGAAATTACTACATGTAGGTAAATGACTACATCTGACATCAGCTAGTTGAAATTTGTTTCAGTTGTACGTAATTTACCTACCTGTTGAGATCACCTATCTATTGTATGTAATTTACCTACATGTTGAAATTTGTTTTAGTTGTACGGAATTTACCAAATTGTTGAAAAAATAGGTAAATCACCTAGTTGAAATCACATAATACATGTAGGTAAATTACTACATCTGATATCACCTAGTTGAAATTTGTTTTAGTTGTATGTAATTCACCTATCTGTTGTACGTAATTTATCTACATGCTAAAAAAATAGGTAATTTACCTACCTGTAGGTAAAATACGGAGTGATGAATATATGTCAATGGAATTTGTGTAGAGGCCAGTCACATTGATTTCAACTTCAACTCATGTACCTATATATTAATATTAATCAACCTTAGCCGCATGTATTCCAGATCATAAACAAAGTATATACATAATTGTTTCATGGGCCTGAACATTGAGAGGTGTTGGGTGAGAATTTCATACCGATGGAAAGCCTAATTTGGGTTTTAAATGTGGCCAATGATATGTTGGGTTATTGTGGAATGGCGATGGAGTTAATTATGTACCTCTTAATGTATTTTGGGTTTGTGCTTATTAGTACACTCTTCACAACTTTGTTTGATACATTAGGAGTTTCTGCAAAAGGGTGACGATAAAAACATCAGATTATTCTTGCATGACCCATTGTTAGAAGCATTAGCTGGGGTAGACTACATTTTTTCCCAATGAGACATGCCAAGTCAGTACCATTTCACATTGTTAGTGTTACACAAGGAAGAAGAATAATGGTTTCCCTACTACCTAAGACATTCAGTTACAAAATCATCAATTGACCCTTGTTTTGCTAATGCGCAAAAGCTGGTTTGTAACATTCCATGACCAAGAATCTTCAATATTTGTTACTTTTGATTTTGGTTTTAGTTGAACTAATTACTTGGTATGACTTTCTGTAGCATGATGCTGTTACAACATTTCTTCAATTTAATAATTGCATTGCAGCAAATGTATTAAACAATGGTCATCGAATGAGACTGTCTGAAAAGGATGGAGGGAAGGCAATCTAATTGCCATTAACACATGGTGAGAAAAAAACACTATAATAGCTAAAGTCTACCGATTCTAATTATCCTTTATGGCCATCGACTACCTGCCCGCGACAATTGGATGACTCGTAAGTATTTATTAAATAAAATTAAGGCATGCCATCTTTCGACTTTGCTACTGTCTTTTTTATGTAGTAGGTGGAAACAAATTAGTTTTACATAAGGCATGCCATTATTTACTTAGGTGCTTAACACATTACCATCAGTATGAAGAGATGAGTTGGAGAGATGAGTAACATGTGTAGTTAGTCAAATATGCCAATTATGTAATCTTTTTTTTTAAAAAATGCAACACTAAGCTTTTATCATTTTCTTTATGAGTTTATGAGCCAAAAGCTCTCAGGCTGACTATGAAATGAAATAAGTATTTTAATATTTTTTTGATTTATTGTGCATTTCTTTATCATTTTTAATGCCGTATTATATATGCGTTTTGTGTCCTGAGGATTATCTGGTAATGTCATTTTTTTGTAGCTATTGCTGCTGTTAAAATTATCTTTTTGTACCTCATTCAGACAAAAAAAGACAAGTCTCACTCCTATGTAAAACACTCCGAAAAGACAAGTCTCACTCATATTTATTCAGTGTACCTATTATTTGAAGACTACTAATAATGTCCTTAAAATTGTACCTACACCTATATCTCGATTTCACTGGATAATATTGCTGTAATTTACCTACAATTTGAACACAATTTCACTAGGTAATTTCAGATCTACAATAGACTGGATGTTTACTTACAACCTTCGAGATAATGTATACCCCGTGGACCCTTTTCCTAGTTAATACCTAATTTACCTACAACTACTAGGCGTGTTTGGCTCTACACCAATTCCCTAGATATATACTCAAAACTATACAACTTAACGACACTAATTTACCTACAATGTGTTTATTTATAATCCATTTATAGTAATCCTAATACAATAGGTAAATTATTCAATTTGAATGTATATAAATTATTCAATTTGAATGTATTTAAATATATAGGTATATGGATATGCAAGGCAAATTATTTCCATGAGTGTTAGATTGATACTAAGATAAAATCTATTATGTTAATAGCCAACACATAAACAAGTGCACTAGTAGGTATAAAACTTAACCTAAGCGATTCATTTCTAAATATAAAAATTGAAAACATTGACAGACTTCAAGATTATATCTCAATAAAAATGATAATCTTGATTACAAGACAATACCATAACAGATGTGTAAAAAAAGGAAACATCCTACATGTCTACAGTAAGTGTACTGTTTGTTGGTAATTTTATCAGGCTTAAATTAATAACAAGAACAAAGAGTTGAATGGAAGAATCATGAGCAGGACCAAGATGAAGATAGTATCAAATTTGGGTAGTGCATGTTTTTTTGTTGTGACGTCCTAGTTGTCCACACCTGCTACATGTTAGTGGCCTTTTCTGTTCCCCTAAAGATTTGATACGCTTCACCCTAGGTCTTCCTGGAGGTTTCTTTGACACTGGCGGGTTCAACAAAAACTCTTCACCTGCCTCTTGTGCATGCCTATCAATATATGGAATTGGGAAAATAGGTATGTTGTAGCATTTCTTAAAATGTTCAACCGTGAAGTACTCTTCAACGTACTCAAAAGGGTTCTCGTCATTTTTAAGAATAGCAACAAGTGCATGCGCGCATGGGAACCCTTTGATTTGCCACATCCAGCAGCTACAAGTGCGGCTTTGAAGATCAACTATTACAGAGTCTTCGCCATGAACCTTGAATAAAAAATCACTTGAACGACTTACATCCCAATGACGCCCGCTTAACAATGATTTCTCTAACTTTGTCTCCATTTCTGGGCAAAGCATAGTGTTCCATCCCTCAGCCACACGTTGCCTATGAGCATTCATCTCCATGATCTTGACCCTTATACCATCAAGCAACTGGTATATAGGCAAATGACGCTGATCTACAATCCATGCATTGAAAGATTCTGCCACATTCGAACACATTTCACCGTACTTTTTGCGTGGTAAACCAAAATTACATCAGAATGTGAACCAAAAACCTACAGTGGATGGTGTATGCATCAACATATAAGAAAAAATTATACATCAATCATTGGGTACAACCTAAGTTTAGGACAAACCAATATGTAAATCTCACAATTAGGCGTGACTGTCTATACACCAATTTCCAAGAAGTTGAACAATAATTGGGAACCACCCTCATCTTTTAACGTCCTCATATGCATTTCAAATGCATCTTCTGTAGGAGCATATGCACACCTACCAAAAAGTTGAACAATCCAGTCGCGGTGTGCCTTACCCAAAGAAGATGGGTACTTGGCAAGGATATTGTGCTTGAGGTGATGGAAACAAAAGGCATGTGGTGAATGGGGGAATACATATGGTAGTGTTTCAAGCAGCCCTTTGTTACGATCAGATATAAATGTAATATTTCTTCCTTGGGGATTGACAACCTTTGATAGATTTTGGAGAAACCACGTCCAATTTTCTTCATTTTCAGAATCAACGACTGCAAAGGCTAAAGGATACATACATGTTTCATTATGTCAACGATATCAGCATTTTAATTAAAAAAATTATGTTATAGGCATTTGCATGTTGTCAATCATAAAACAAGATTTAGGATTTCATATTAGACATATCCCTAGTAGAAAAATATATATAATTGGTGGAAATGGTGGTCAATAAATCAAGTTGACAAGAGATTTAAGTTAATACAATTGAAATTAACATTTACCTTGGTTACCGTTTTTTCCTGTTGCAACGAGCAAGTGACCTTTATATTTATTCTTGATAAACGTACCATCAAGAAATAACAATGGCCTGCAATATTTGAAGCCTTCTATGCAAGCATGGAAGGACATAAAAATCCGTTTGAAGCGGGATGTCTCCGGGTTACACTCCAATGTACAATGTGAATCATAATTTGAACTTAATACTACTCCCACATACCAAGCTAGGTGTCTGTATGACATTGACTCATCACCGTGAACTCTTTTCCTAGAAATATCCAACCCATAATACTTTTTGAAATCCTTTACAATCTCAATCGGTTTCATTAATGGTTTGGAAGCGATCTGCTCTGCCAAAATGGATTATACAACTTTTGAGCATATCATCATACTCTTCCGATCACGAATACGCATGCTGCAAGTATGCTCATTATTCAGTGTCCGAATATAAAAAAAACTCATTTGCAGGACATAGTGTTGTATGCACACGCTAGCTACAACCATCAGACGATTTTTTAGAGCACTCTGCAGTGACTCTCTCTTTCTCATTTTTTAGGTACACAACCTTAAACCATTTCTCAATGGTGTATTTGCACAGCTTTGTCTCTAAGAGCATCTCCCACCGATATGTCAAAAGTGCCATATAGACATTTAACGGCTAGAAATAACATCTCACCTCACTCCAACCGAATTGTCAAAGCTGATGTGGAATGAAGGCTGGATGTTCAGCTGTTATTTTTGACATCCCAAAAGCAAGATGTCAAATGAATATTTTATTATTTTTTAAAGCCAGCTGGTTGTTACTTTCATTTTTTATTTTCCTTTTTTATTATTTTCTTCTTTATCTTGAATGATTTGACTGTTACAATAATTATTTATTTGACATATCGGGCGGAGTGTAAAACTGTGTAAATGTCAAATTGCCACATCAGCCATCAAATTTAAATTTGATGTTTGGTATTTGATATATCCCTCGGAGATGCTCTAAAGTCATGAACTCCACCAATGAATTTCTGGCCCACATGATTGATATAGTTTCTCCAAGTATGAGATAAATATGCATGGTCAGCAGGTGCGCCATATTTCCCAATGTAATCGTTCTCATTAGTGTGATTGTAACCCTCCATAGCATGTGTGGAAGATCCAAATACATCATCAGCACCATTACCCTCGTCAGGCAACTGACATTCCTTGACAGCGATAGTGACAATATTTTTCTTCTTGTTCAACAATGACAAATACGTAACACACACATCTAAATCGGACTCCAATAAACATGGTGGATAGTCTGCTACAAGGTATGTGATCTCAAAAGCTTCAACCTCCAGCTTATTAAACCTTGCACAAACATCAAAACATAAACTTATATAAGTTGAGTCACTATACAGTGGAATTGTCACCATTTTGTTGTTGAAAACGCATCTCCCAAATATAGAACGCTCCATTTGCTGCCAAAAAAACAAATGATAAGCACATATTTTTCATGTGGTGCATATAGATTTGGTTGTAATTTATCACAACTAGGAATACAAAAGTTTGCAAAAATAGAATGACTATACATAAAAACGAATAAAGGAAAACCTATATACCTGTTCATGTAGTACCTAGTGGTTGTATATAGGTGAAGTTTAATTAAAAAAAAACACAACTGAAGGAAGAAAAAAAAGCAACTAATGCGAAGAGCAAATAACTGGTTGTAAATTAATTATGTACCTACCTATATCCATTTGTATCAAATTAATTTGAACCTATGTTTTTACATCTCCAACATTATCTACACAGTTGCTATTTCGTCAAACACTTGATGTGCAAAAATTAAACACAAACCCAACTTCTTGCTAGAAAAAAAAAATACCGACTATGCAAGTGACAAAACAAATTTCAGCAAACGACCAATTGTATTTTAATGGATATATCATTTGCATCAAAACCCCACTAGGTAAATTACTCATTAGGTACCTACCTATACCCATTACACAATTAGTCGTTTAGTTTACATGAGAGCTAAGTTGACTTTAGTCACAAGTTCTGTTCTAGCAACAGAAGCGAGAAAGATAATCGGATAACAGAAAGCACCCACAACAAGTCAACATAATAAAGAACCCACAACACTTTAGTCACCAATTAGAATTTCAATGAACATAAAAACCTGGCAAACAAAGAATTAAAATGTTCTTAAAAAACGATGATCTGCTCTTAACACTATAATGACATCACCTGTTCTTTCTCCTAATAAGACTCTGCATCGGTCTTGTCGAGTAAGACTTGTTGTGCGGAAGAGTCAACCAAGTGTGAGTGAAAATTACCACAATTAGTAAGAGATAAAATAATGAACACAAAACAACACCAACAAGAACACCAAGATTTATACTGGTTCGGCAATGCCTACATCCAGTTTGGAGACGACGGAGTATTCACTATAATCAAATGAGAGAATACAATAGTGTTTAACACTCAGAAACCCAAGCCCCAAATATACCCAAGCTCACACACTCAAGAATATAAAGGGAATACAAATTGAGTACAATTTAGAGAAAAGGAAAAATAACCAATGGCAGCAACAATTGTTTTGCTGCCCAACTCTTATTTTTCCTCTCTCACTTCTCTCTCTCAGACTTTGGTTTGGTGCGGCTCTTCACCCTATAGTGCAGTTCCTTCTCACCCTTTGCTGCTGCCATGCTTCTCCTTTTATAAGCCCATTCACACTTGCCAAAAAAACAGCCAGCCAGTTTCACTTAATCACCACATGCCAACCCACGTTATGGCCAGCCAAAGAATCTCCAAAAAACAGCCCACATGCATGCCAAAGGAAAACATAATGATGCTGGTCACACAACCTCATCCATCATTACTTACACCTTGTCTCCCACCAAGCCGAAACCATGTGCAGCTCTTCCATTCCCTTTGGCCACGTGATTTGCAAGTTTGTCAGCCATCATGAAGAAACCATCTACACACGTGGGTGCAATTTGAGCCAATCCCAACAATCTCCACCTTGGTTCAAATTGTACCAAACTCTTAATAATACTCAAAAGGTCGTCTCCCAATCCCCCACGGGGCAATCAACAAATTTAACAAATGTCAATCAAGTCTAAGCAGTGCTTAAACTTGAGCAACGAAACAGGCTTTGTTAACCTATCAAATCGCTTGTACCATTGTCTTGGAGACTGCTTCAAGCCATACAATGATTTTTGCAATTTGCAAACCCAATTTTCCTTTTCAGCAACCTTAAAACCTTCTGGCTGAGACATATAAATTTCTTCCTCCAAATCACCATGTAAGAATGCCGTCTTGACATCAAGTTGAGCTAACTCGAGGTCAAACTGCACAACCAAAGCCAACAAAATACGAATAGAA